TAATCGGTTAAACTCATTATCACCTTAATCAACATACGTTAACTACGGGTTACTCCAGTATAAATCCGCAACTGAACTCTTCACTATAGAGTATTTTTTTGTGTCCACGAATATCAACCATTGATGGTAAGTCAATCCTTCACGATGTTCGTAACCACATATGGGTCAGATTACCATTTTACCCCTATGTTACATCTTGTACCTTAAGTACCGCTGATCCTCTAATGAACAATCCAGTTATGGTTCGACGAATAATCGGGAGTCCCTCTCGGGCCAGTGAGAGGGTGGAGCCCTTTGTTCARGTCACGGAGTCAACACTAAAAGGAACACGCATCTACTCCCCTAAGGTCGAAGAGGAGTGAATTCCATCTTGTGTAGTTATGGTACCAACTCCCCACTCGGTCTCATCCCCAAAATGGTGAGAATGTTGAGTCGACGACTCAGGCCACTCTCACCTAAACTGATCAAAGAACGAGCCCTCACGGGCAGGAGTTGATAACTCACTCAAGATTAAGAATGAGTTGTTTGGTCATCCTATGAAATAGCAATCTGTTATTCAACAGTATTACATCTAAAGATCGGCTATTTTGTGGTCCCGATCTTATACAAACTCATTGTATAGGATTCCCCCACTCGCATGTCTCCACACGAAAAACCTGGATCGGGTCGTCTGACATTAACTACTAACCTTCTGATTCGGTGGTCTATGTTCCATTGTTCTTTTTCTCTCCTGTCTGCTTTGTACTACAACTTCAAGTTATCATTGCTGGCTCATCTTTATGTGTAGCTTTGCCTTCTTCCTCAAATATCTTGGTTACCACCCCTACTAAAATTTGGATGGTTCCTCTAGCTTGGGTTATAAGTGCTCCCATATACATTGTTCCTGTTTTTGCTGTGGATTCCCCAATTAACATATTGATGCAGGGTTACCTAGACAATTCTCAAATAGGTTCTCTCCAATATGGCCATGACATACTCTGTACAACATTCACTTTTGTCTTGAAAGCTCCAGAATCACCTGGAGTTACATTTTTCATCACTATATCAGCAAATCTAGAGATCTTAGAATTCAGATCTGCTACCACATCGTCCTCTATTAAGCCCTTAGATGTCGTCGATGAAGCAACCCTGGACTTTCACCATTGGTGCTTATTTTGCAAAATTCTCTCTAAAATGTCGAAGGCTTCAGTATAAGGTTTTGACAATAATGCCTGTTTGCTGAGGCATCTATCACTAACTACGTAGCCTCATTCAGCCCTGTTATAGGGAAATAAGCGAGATCCAACTAGGAGACAGGAGATCGAAAGAAAGCCAAGAAGTGGGCATGAACCAAGAAAGGGGGCCGACACCTGGAGACCCGAGCTGGCCCCCGACCGACCAGTGGTCGATGCAGAGCAATGGTCAGCGCCAAGACCTCCTCCGCGCCGAGTAATTCTCCACCCCCGGCCGAGAACCCTAATAGTTCATCCCGAACCATCCCGCCTCGATTCTCGATTTGACCTTAAGCCCACAATGAAACGAACGGACCCGAAGCAAGCATGAGGCCCATTCTGTTTAGATCTCTTGAGTGCATTAGAATTCAACTTATGTAAATCCTAAAGGGATTAGGATTCGACCTCTATAAATAGAAGATTAAGCTAAACCCTAAAGGTATGCTCACAACACCTCATATTTTATACTCAACTACTTCGATTCTGACTTAAGCATCGGAGCCTGTGTGGCAAGAGCCACACCGGTCTTTAATGTTATTTTGTTTGCAGGTCTCGTTGATCCCTTTTATTCTTAAAGATTGGTGCGAATTTGACGGAATCCCAGGAGGTCAAGTTTCTGCATTAACAATTGGCACCATCTGTGGGAACGACTAAGATCTAAAAGTCAAGACAATTGACGACGAATTGATCAAGAACTGCTCGGAGCCAAGGAGATCTTGGGTGAAACAAATAAACATGGATTCTGAAGGCTAACTACAACTTTTTAATGACGAATGCCATACGACTCGGGGGCTTCCTCTACCTGAGGTAGCCGAGAAAAAAACAAATCAATAAGTTATGAGATAGCACCCAAAACGAACGAATCAACAAATTCGAGGACAGATCCTAGATGAGATAAACAGACTCTAGGATAAACGAGTCAATAAATCCCAGAAAATAAAAAGCGACTGGTTAACATACGAAGTTTCTACTTTAGACAATGGTAAGTTTGCTGTGTAATTCTTGTTGTTTATGATTATGAAAATTTATGTTTAATTTTCTGGTAATCGTATATTTGGTAGATCGCATAATTTAGAACTGGTTTTTTGGTAACTGCATGTTGATAAAGTCAAATTTTATGTCTCCAAAGATACTTACTCGTTTGTGATTTAAAAAAGCTCCTAGTATCTGAAATTTAACTAATTCCTTACTACTTGAGCAATTATCTCTTTCTATATTCTGAATTCTTTTGACATTTGAAATGTAATTAAATCTTTACTACTTGAGCGTTTACCTTTTATTCTAAATGAAAATCCCTCAAGTTGGGGCATGGATAAGTAAATCAACAACTGGTCAAGGAACTCGAACAGGGGCAGACCTAGAAGCAGGCCGATAAGCTATAAGCTAGTCAGTGAAATTAGGAAAAAGAATCCCAAAGGTGTTGAAAGGCACGCGTACAGACCCAGCAACGTTAAAACAAAAAGCATGCAAGCCTAACCAATCAATGAAACCCAGGGTGAGAAAACCATTTGGAAAAAACCAAAATAGGTTAAAAACCCAGGGGTGTTGATTAACTTAGGGTAAAAAACCGGCAAAAGCCAAAAGGTTAGAAACCCAAGGCCGACTAGACTCAGGGTATAAAACCATTGGCGAAAGCCAAATAGGTTAGAAACCCAAGAGTGAATCCTGGGGTATAGAACCATGGGCAGAAGTCAAATCGGTTAGAAACTAAAAGAGGTACTATTGGCCCTACTGCGAAGTTAAATCTCAAGGCTAAAATCTAAAGGTAAAAACTAAGCCTAAGAGACTTAATTGCAGCCAACTACAACAAAAGAGAATGGGGGCTATGATAGCAATCTATGAAACAACAACCGACAACAACAAAAGGGTACCGACTAGACTCAGGGTATAAAATCATTGGCAAAAGCCAAATAGGTTGGAAACCCTAGAATAAACCCTATAGTATAAAACTGTGGGCAAAATCCAAACAGGTTGGGTACAGCTAGCTCAACTAATAGTTAGATCTCAAGGCACAAACCTAAACAGTTAAAACTAACTGTACAGTAGAGCCCAAGAGACTTGACTACAGCCAACTACGACAAAAGGGTATGGGGGCTAAAAAGATCAGCCCGTGAGATGACAACCAACAAATGACAAGAGAATAAAGGGACTATTTTGCAAAACAGTAATTCATGGAATGATAAATCGACAAAGTACTCTCAATATAGAAGACCTAACATTTTGCCTTCTACGTTGAGGGTAGTGGCTACTGTTATAGGGAAATAAACTAGATCCAGCTAGACGACAGGAGATCAGAAGAAAGCCAAGAAGCGAGCACGAACCAAGAAAGGGGGCCAGCACCTGGCGACCCGAGCCGACCCCCAGCCGACCAGGTCTCTACGCCGAGACCTCCTTGGCACCGAGCAGTTCTTGGCCCCCCGGCCGAGAACCCTAACAGTTCATCCCGAACCATCCCACCTTGATTCTCGATTCGACCTTAAGCCCACAATGAAACAAACGGACCCGAAGCAAGCATGAAGTCCACTCTGTCTAGATCTCCTGAGTGCATTCGAATCCAACTTATGTAAATCCTAAAGGGAATAAGGTTCAACTGATTTAAATCCTGAAGGAATTATGATTCGACCTCTATAAATAGGAGAGTGAGCTAAACCCTAAAGGTATGCTCACAACACCCCATACTTTATACTCAACTACTCCGATTCTGACTTAAGCATCAAAACTTGTGTGGTAAGAGCCACACCAGTCTTTAATGCTATTTTGTTTTGCATGTCTCATTGATCCCTTTTATTCTTGAAGATTTGTGCGAATTTAGCGGAATCTCAGGAAGCCAAATTTCTGCATCAACAAGTCTGTTATAATATGTTTCAATTTGAATGCATCGTGGTATCCCGTGATGTGGATATTTATGGAGCAGTCCCTTGAACCTTTCCCAAGACTCACTCAAAGATTCTCCTGGTTGTTGAAAATTGTTGATCTTGCTCCTAAGCTCCGCATTTTTTTATGGTGGAAAGTATTTCATCAGGAACTTTTCAGCTAAGTCATTACATGAAGTTATTGACTTGGCACATAAATAATCCAACCATGCTCCAGTAGTATTCGTTAGAGAATAAGGGAATAACTTCAGGTGTATAGCCTCCTTACTCTAGGTGTCTATCAGGATCTTCTAATGCAAGCCCATGGAATGGTCCTACTGTTTGGAGCATCTGAAACATCGCAGGCTTAAGTTCTAACCATCGGAGTTGTGGGTCTCATCCTATGGTTATCTTCGATATTTTAGGCGTGAAATACGCAATAAGGCGGATACATGGTTAAACAATTACATTTTTAACGTTGGGCTCGAGTTCGATGACCTTTACTACATAGTCGATTTAGTTCAGTAGTTCTTCACTCATTATTTTTGAACTTACCCGGTAAAAGTTACGCGTGAGACTAACATCAGTTATATTTTTGTAGTAAAAAAGAGATTAGAATAAATGACAATATTACCAACAGATCCTTAAAAGCTACATTTTTTTAGTTTTTAAATTTAGCTACAAATATAGATAACAAAATAAAGAAACACGTAGAGTTGTAAACAGCACAAAAAAGTAAAATAGTTACCGAACATGTGCCAAAAATTGGAAGGAAAAAAAAATTACACTAACAGAGAGAGTTAAAAACTGAGGATGAAATTGAGAAGAGCTTATAACACGAAGGATCTTTTTGTATATTTAGCAAATTTTATATTAATAAAAAGTGAATATGCAAAATTTGATAATAGTAAAATTTATGAGTTCCACTTCCATATTGATGGAAGTAAAGTGGAGGGAAGATCTGAAGCAGTTGCGTTGCGTCGCGTGCGGTTTTACAATTGTATCGTCTCATCTTCATCTCTCTCTCTTTTCTTTCCTTTTTCAGAAAACAACCAATTTTTCTGTGTGATTCCCTAACAAATCTCAACTCTCCCAAAATACTTTTCAATTTGCAAGTTGAACTGTTATTATTATCATTGTTTACTTCAGCCGTCATTCGTCAAATTGGTGGCGAGATTCATGCCCCCTTTCCCCAAGTTCCAACCAACCAACCCGCTTTTGCGCTTTCCAATCCCACGGATCACACCCTTTTTCCACTTCTTTCGAGAAGGAGAAGAAGAAGCAAGATTGCAGCAGAAATTTTTCACCCAAAACTTTGTCAAATTTGACTTGGTGGGGTGAGCGACAGAGCTGAACAAGTCTGTGGGAAACCCTAGAATTTCGGCATGGCTTCCTCGAATGTGGAGATGGCGTCCACGTCGAAGACCAATCCGGATCTGCCGCGCGAGTCCTCTGTTTGTTCTATTTCCACAATTATCGCTGATCTGCACCACAGTGATTCTTCCAGGAATTTGGTTTCCATGAGCATGGACGACCTCCTCAAGAACATCTATTCTGATGGTCAGAGTCACAACCAAGTGCAAGTGCAAGTGCAGGACGAAACTACCATCATTGGGGCCTCG